ATGCCATATGCACTGAACTAGATATAGATTATTGCAAATATGACAAAAACAAATAATTCTTGGTGTCTTACATGGGTCATTTGTCATGATGGAGGGTCTCAAGGGAGCTCTCATTACACAGAATCAGAGCCGAGCACCAGAATGAGAATGTAGATTTAATCAATGGCTTTCCAATTTATTTGGTTGACTCAATGAGTTCCAGAGTCGAAAAGAGTGGAAACACTGTGACCGTGATCAATAAGAGCCAGCGGCTGACGAAAACACCAGCAACCTCTTCCAACGGCATCAGACTTGGCGTGGTTTAACCACTCCGTTCGTTTAGGCCTCGACAAAACAATTTGCAAAAACAAGCTCGCCCAAGTAAAATTGAAATTAAATTAAATACAAATTAAAAGTATATACATGAAGCTGTGTTACTAAATAAACCATGCTCCTAGATGCAACAAATACATTGTTCTTAATTATTGTAGACAAATTAAAACATTTTTAATTTAAACTGTAACTAAAAAGCTTAAAAATATATATTTTTTTAACATATTCATACAGCTTTTTTAGATGCGTTAAAAATATTTTTTGTTTGTTAGACAAATTGATGGCATTTGTATCACAAATGAACAATGAAGACAGAAAGTTAGTCAAAAATTATAAAGGATAAGAGGCTTTTTGTGAGACACTTTTTGTCTTAATCAAATGTCTGAAAAAATAGTTAAAAATAAAATGTGTATTTAAACTTGCTGTAATTTATTAAGCAGATTAAAAAAAAAAGATTTTTATTATAAAACAACTGTTTTGTGTTTTTTGGTAAGTTTTGTTTAATTGTCACCATAGAGGCAAAACTGTGCATTTTAATACAGATTCTATGAAAGTGCCGTATTTTTTGCGGTATAAGTCACAGGTTTTTTCATAAATTAGCGTGCCTACGACTTAGACAACAAAGTGACGTACTTGTGTTTTTCCCCATATTCATAACCCAATTTTTGGCTGAGATCTGACGATTTCATTCATTCTGATATGGAAAATATTGAACACTACCATTTTCAGCCACTAGAGGGCCTTTGACGTATATGGCAAGCCAAATGTTTCATTAATAGGTAAAAGTGGCTATTGATGAGACACTTGGCTTGCCATACAGAGCCACCTTCGTCTCGCTCCGGAACATGGAGCAAATGTCAAATCAGCTGCATTTTGCCTGAGCAAAAGTGAAATGACCGTCAAAGTGCATTTATTAAGGAAAAGTTCAACTGAGACACACCTTTACTATAATTTTGAGCAAACAAATAATTGTTTTAAGTGTTAATCTTGTTAAATTCTTGTTAAAGTCCTCTCGTGCACGCTCCCGGGACCGCCATTTGATTTATGGCATAACGCCGGCCCACATTTCCAGGCTGTCAGCGGTGACGCATAACAAGCGTGACACGACTTATACGGTGAAGCAACGTATTTTTTTTTCCCACTTTATTAGACAGATTTGGACCGATGCAACTTATACAGCGGTGCGACGTGTACGACGGCAAATACGGTAGTCCTTGAAGAAATCCATCATTTTTCACACCAGACTCCTAAACAAGATGTTGTCCGACTTAGTAGAACTCTTCTTTCTTCTCCTTCTTGTTGGGGATGATGCTCAGTTACTGCCACACCAAATTTTAGGTCAATATCTGTAAAAATGACTGAGTTCTAATATTTTTTGTGTTCACTAAGGTTATGTAACGCAGAGGAAGCTATCAGGTCGATTCAAAAAGTTAATCTTTATAAAAGATCAACCAAGACCTTTTGAGTTTCATCAAATAATTAAATCCAATAATCCAGGAGATATTTTGCTTTCCACCTGCTCACTTTTCACAGAAGCGAGAAAAAAACAACCACTCGTTTTAACCTAAACTGACATTAATAATACCAGATGGGGTGTTGAGCATATTTTCTTAGTGTCTGAGATGATTCTGAAGAGTGGCAACATTTTTCAGCCACCATGTCTTTAAGATGAGGCTTCAGCAGGTTAAACCCCCCCACGGTGTTCTTTCACACCTCAGACTGAATAGATATCAACGGACTGTATCGGAATGACAAACCACCTCTTTGTGTTTGGTTGGCAGTTCGTACACTAAGGAAACACCAGTACAATTGAATTTATTTTTCATGTATGATTCATTTCCAACCCCCTGGTCATTTTCTGTTGTTTACTGAAGAGAACTCAAAACTTTGCTCCAGCTACGTAAATGACAGAGGTGACTGCATCACAGCTAATTAAAAAAAATAGGCTAGGGGTGCTTTTTGATGGTGTGAGATTAAAGAAGAAGCAGGAAAACTGCTCATTAATTGGTTTGCAAAGTCAAAATCAGCAAATTAGTTAACTGTTAAATATTGGGAGGTGGTGTTTAAGTGGGACTTTGTGGAAAAGTATAGACAATATAGGTTATAACACTGTTTTATCCTCTATGGTTAAATGTTTTATTCTTTTATGATGTGAGCTGCAGACCTCTTCGCCAAGTCACTCTTCGATAAGAGATTTTGATCTCAACGTTTTTTTAATATCTGTTGTAGGTAGCACTTTAAATGACCTCAGTTTAGAGAAATAGCTACTGAGGGCATCCAAGAACACGGCATTAAAACTTCAGTTTTAAAAGCATACAAATACTACTTTAAAAACCTTGAATACTTTCACATCACAGCGTTACTTAACATTACACTGTTATTTACACGGTATGCTGTTTTTTTGTAAATGCAAAGCAGCAGCTACCACTTCCAGCAGGAATATTTAAAAAATTCTGCCAGAATACTTGAGTCATGCAAAACTGATGGAAACGCAAATATTTCCAAAAGAGCGTTTGCAGGAACCACTAAAAAAGCTTTTGAGATTGAAGTTGCACGGATTAAAGCAGAATAAAATATTTTGACTGAAATTTTTTCTACACCTAGATTTTAGTTAGTAAACATACACAGTATAGCGTATACTTGACCTTAGTAAATGTACCCAGTATAGTGTTCTCTAATGAAGCACCATCAAGACCATCATTCTTAAGGAAGAGAGGTTCAACAACTTTTCTGTAGTTAACTTTTAAAGGGGTTATCCATTATATTTTAAAACACTATAACACAAAAAGTCTTTTGCAGAGGATAAACCATCCTAAAATATTTTTTTATTATCTAGACTGACGTATTTCTCCCCGAAGATGATTATTTCATTCAAAGGGATTAAATTTACAGCATGTCAGCTCATCTAGTCATTTAATACTATTTATTTTCACATTTGATCATTTATTAAATTACATTTATGACAGTACAGTCACCTCTCAGTAGGTTTCTACAGATAATAAAGTTTAGCTCAACCAAACAGCTACACCTTGTTAATGCTGTACTATAATATCATGTAGTAATAATTTCTAGATATTTATGATAAACTACAAACACCTGAAACTGCTCTTACAGTGAACTTGTGAGTTGGGGGGAGGGGGGTTAAAGTGAAACAGACGCACATCTGGGGCACATAAATATTTGTCTTTTAGCTTTAACATGATTTTTAGAAATACTAAAGAGCAGACACAGCCTCTCTCACTATGACAGAAACTCAACAGGCCGTGCGCTCCTGCAGCAGTGCACGTCTCTATCAAGCTCTCTCTCAGACCCAGAGTTCGGTCAAACGCACAGGCTGCACATCTGTACGATGACGACGCTCTGAACAGATTAACGTTTAATACAAAGTTAGATACAAATATCCCGGGAGGTCGGGGTGTGGTGCAGGAGGGGTTTCAGTTCTGGCATCTCCCTTGTCTGCAGCGAATTGGTCATTAACGAACACAAACATTTAATAATTTATTACGCCTTCACCTTCATGGGAAGGCGGGCGGTTCTGTTAGGGCAGTGTGGTGCCTTCTTTGACTTGCTGCAGGTGAGCTTTCACCTGCTGCTCACCATAGAACATGACCTGCTCTGCTCTGGTCAAAGTGTGGCTCTGGTTCTTTACTGGTTGAAAGCAGCGTCTGGTTGAGCCCTGTATCATCATTAGATTGGATGGTTTAACAAAGACCACATCAAAACACGTTTTTTTTTCCCCCCTACTCATTTTTATAGATGACAGAAATCCGACCTGACCACGTTCAAAATGACAGACATCCTTTTCAACGATGGAGAACTTTAATCCATGAAGTTGCTTTAGGAAGGCAGCAAAGCACTTTAGCCTTGGCCCCACTTGCAATAGCTAAAAATGTGTCAGTCAAGTTAAAATAAAACGTTCTATTTTTCCTTAATAGTCATAAATGAAAAAAAAAAATCTAATGAAATGTCCCTGGAGAAAGTCAGATCAGAATTCGGAGATAAATGGAACACAACAAAAGTCTATTTCTGAGAATTCAAGATCATTCAAAAAGCCATCTAAGACAGGTAAGATAGTGTTGATGTTTTCCAGATCCCTTTAAGGCTGAAAACTGGAGCTCAGTTTAACTAAAGCAGATTGTCCACTTCTGTACCGTAGTAATGACGAGCAGAATTATAATTCTAAAGAGGCGCAACAAGTTTTACCCAGGGAACTTTTTGAAAAACTATTTCAGGAGACTCGAAACAGGAAGACCAACGGAACCTCACACTGACCAAAGAGCAGTCAAATAAAATGCAAATTTAAAAAAGCACTTCTCTTTAGACCAATCACAGTTTGAAAGTTATCCAAAACACACCGACACTTTCTTCTGTCCCCTCTAAACCAGTTGAGAGTAAAATACCTGGACCGCTGAGGGAACAAAAAACTGAAAGCTTTTAAGGAGAGATGCTGCGCTGCCATAACTTCTACCCCAAACTGTCTCCTGCAGAAGAGCACACAGATGTTAGTTATATGAACACACGAGGTCTGAAGGGACATGAAATGACACAATATAGTTGGTTTGGATTAAGACTGGGAATCCCAGGAGGTGGTTCATCAGACATGGACTGATCTTTCAACAAAAAGAGACAGAGGTAAACCCCAAGAGGACGTCTGAGTAAGTGTACACAACCAGGCAGGACCTCGGTGCAGAAGAACGGTATTTATTTGGCAAGTTCACAAACTAAGAAAATATGCTTTGCAGTGTTTACAGATTTTTTTTTTTTTTTTTAAAGTTATCTCACGTTAGCTGAACAAAGTCCTTTGAGTATATAAGAGAGCTGCCAAATCTCCGTTCATCTGGACATCAAAAAAGGTTCGGATCATCTCGCGATACTTCCCAACATCTACCCACGAACTCAGCCTTTTCCTGCTCCTCTCCACGTCCCGCTGCCACGCCTCTCTACACCTCTGCAGCCCCTCCACGGAGCCCGGCTCAGGAGGCTCCTCAGGTTCAGCTCGCCCCTCGCTCTCCTCCTTTTTTTCACGCACAAGCAACGACACGTGCTCTCTGAGCGACAGCACTTCGTCTTCCAGAGCCAAGGCGAACACCTGAGCTGCGCTCTGACTTCTCGTGCTTTTGACAGGCCGGATGGAGCAGGACGCAGGGAGGAACACCAGCAGCGAGTCCAAGAACTGGAGCATTTGTACATGGCTGCGAAGAAAGCGCAGAGAGACAGATTTTATATGCCATTACATAATGCATGCTGGAATGGATTTTAAAAAACTTTGCGAAGTCTTCATCTATTTTGTCATTTGTCAGCAGACTCACAACGACCTGCCCATTTAAAATTGATTTGCAGGATTTGTAACTTTAAGTGCTCTGCTTGCCAGAGAAGCCTAATCTCTTTGATATTCAGGGAAATATCATGTAGATGTACGCCTTAGCCAGCTTCAAAGTCCTGTCAACTCTCCATCTGTTTATGGAAATTCAGCAGTGCCCACCCTTTTCTACCTTTTCCTTCGCTTTTGAATAAAACTGCATAATTCAATACACTGAGGAGTGACATTTCTTTAAGAGGGTAACTCAACAGGAAATCTTTTTTTTTCTGGATTAAACGATCGTCAAACTAGCAGCATGTAACATTTCAGCTCATAAGAACCAGTTTTCTTGAAATATAAAAGATGATTCGTTTTGCAGAACATAAAAATCAAATGCAAAGTCTCATTAAATTAGTGTGTGTAGTGGAGAACCTACTAATGTTGCTACAACATACTTTTTCTAAGTGGACGCAGTTCTTTGTAATATTGTCTGCACATAAACGCTTAAGATTTCAAAATATTTCCTCCCTATGTATCAACTAATCATAGATAAAACTCAAAACTGTCCCAAAAATAAACAAAAGTTTTCAACTCTGAAGTCATAAAAGATCTATCCATCTATTCTTTTGTCTAGTGTAACGGAGCTTCTATTTACACATCTACCAAATCCTAAACTACTGTTACGGATCTGGTCAGCTGGACTTTCAACGCAGTTTATACAAAAATTTTCAACAAAGCGACATGGTCCTGGAGAGCCCTCATGCCCTGCTGAGATGCACGCGGCAGGGTACGTCATGGATCCGTTGGAACTTGATGTGCCTTTCCGTATTGTCTCAGGAGGACGCAGAAGATGTATTGAAATCATGATAGCAGGGTTTCTGCTTTCTGGCACCGGCGTATACCTAGATATGTTATCGGCTATTAAAGAAGATGGCGGCAGCAGTTTCGGCCATGGCAAAGCTGCCGAGCGTATGTGAAGGTTTGGTTCGTGCTCCGAGTACTCAAAACCTGCTGATTTTCGAGCTCAGCCATAAGATGGAAGCGATTTGTGAGAATCGCAGGCCTCTTGCAGCTTCTGGGACTCGCCAGCGTGTTGGGGACGACCTTGGAGGGAGCTAATAAGCACAGACCAGTGGAATGCCCACAAATCTGGCCATTTTGGGTCGAAAGTGCCAGCAGAACTCAAGGGTGACAAGAAATAACAGTACCTGAAAAAAATAAAATAAAATTAACAACTGTGGCTTATCTGACTCCCTCGTTCAGCCTTGAAGCAGGCCAACTTATCACATTTCTCCTGGGATATGTATAAACTAAAAAAGCTCTGCTCTATCCGCAACCCCCCACCGAGAACTTCTGTGAACGCTTATCAGAACTGTACTGGCTGACACCAACAATCTTATCAGGACTATGGTGCTATCTGGAAGAGCTTCATGGACAAATCTCACGTCTTGTCATCAAATGCATATGTAACGTGTCGATAAATGTGCTTGCTGGTAAAGATTTTTGATGTCTTAAATCATGTCCTGATAAGGACAAGGTGTGAAGAGATCTTTTTTGTAATACCACTATCCCCTCCTCATGGCATTTCCCCTTTTCTATCTAAATAATAAGGGGGGTGCGCTCTTAGGAGCAGCAGCAACGTGCACTCCGCCCATCTTTCGGACTGTACGAACATAATCTCACTGTACTGTACTACGGTGCAATGATAATAAAGTTTACTCTGATTCTAACTTGTATCAACAACTGAGATTGGTTTACCTGGAGTAGATGGTTAATTCTCCTTGGAAAGGGGTTATTTGATGCCATTGCAGCAGCATCGCAGCAAATGGTCCTGGAGAGTCCAGTAACAGATACTGAGGGCTCACTTCTACCTTCTGACAGCCCACTCTGTTCTGGATCCAGCCATCCACATCACCCAAACTGTAATCAGGAGAGTCTATATGTAAGATCCAGCGGTCCAACACTGTCAGTAGACTCAGCAGGTCCTCTCTAACCTCATCTAAGCAAGAAAAAAACGGATAATGAGTATTTATGCATAAGGATTTATGTCTCAAATTGTGAGTTTCTGTGATTTTTACCCGTTTTTAATTGTGGGGTTTTCAGCAGGGGGTTTTGGAGAACATTATGAATATCTACAGAAACTTGACCACAGTGCAGCACGACTGGTGTTGGTTTGCTCACAGGGGACAAAGCATCTGCTTTCTGCACGTAATGGAGCATGACACGGCACTTGACACAGCCAGAGGTCAGCAGTGGTGCCAGCTCGGTCATCGCAGTCACGGCCAGTCTGCATGCGTGGAGATCATCGCTGGCGATGTGCTGCCTGCTTCTTTTGGCTGCGGGCGCCGAGAACGCAAAGGCAGATGTGGAGGAGGAGAGGGACGGCGTCGAGGGGCGGAGCGCAGGGAGCCAGAACGCTTGGCTCTGGGTCTGAATTACCGCAGGCGCTGAGCTCTGGCCCGTCTCTGTCAGGAGGGATAAGCTCACACCGGTCGCTGGTCTGGAACAAAAATAACACATCATCAACTATCACAGATCACACGGATAGTGGATAATCAAACTGGAAATTAAACACAAAACTAGACGCGGTGTGTGAATGTAGGACAGCTTGTGTGCTGATTAACACCAACATATCCAGGTGGTGAAGTTACATCAGCTGGAAAAGAGCGGCAATCAAAACAGGAATACGGCGGCGCCTGAGGCGGAAACGTCAAAAGTGGTTTTCCTCCACATGTTCTCAAATTAAAAAACAGGAACAGGTGGACGGAGGAATCGAGTGAGCTGCTTGTTCCCTCATCAGGAGCTTTGAGGGTTATTAAAAACTTGCTGCTATGGTGACAACCTTGTCAAGTCGCATCTGAATTGAAGCTTAGGGCTCAGATCAGCTAAACATTGTAGCTCAGGTAAATCTGCAGCAGTTACGACAGCTTGAAAGTACTTTCACATAAGTGTTATATTTAGCTGGTGTTGATTACATTTATGCTAAAACCTCTGTTTACATGTTCAAACATACACAGTATGCATCAATAAAAATGTAAATGTGTTTTGGTTTTTTTACACTGCACTCTCAGCAGTTAGTATCACTCCTACAACCATCCGGTCCTCGGTGAAGCGATGCCAGAGCTCGTCGATTTGGGGTTTTGAAGACGCGGCTGGCGAGTCTTCCATCCCGTCATCCGGAGTCTCGTCTTTCAACTCGTCGTTGCTGTCCCACAGAGCAACAAGGCCTTCCTAGTCAGAGAGCGCAAAGATGATAATCAGCAATGACAAGCGGGCGACACCGCTGGCAACAGCAGCAATTTATGTCACACATTTCAAATTGGCATTTAGGCGCAGTACACTAATTCATGCTATTCAGAATATAGAAATGTTTCTGCGGTACTTGTGGTTGAAAGAACGTAAATCTGTTGTGCGTTTCAAAAAGGCTCCCTGTGAAAATGTCTGCTGTATCTCTGATGCCATCTTTTACATCAGTTGTATGAATGTTGTATAAACACATTGTGTTGTTTTCAACTAAACATAAGATAAGCGTGACAGAGAGTTATCATCATATACCTCTAGACAATTACGCTAAAATAGAAATTACAAATACAGAAACGTGTTAGATCTGTTCTGGGATGGAAGTCAGATTATCTGGTGACACAAACACAAACGTCTCCGCCTGATCATCCATTTCAGAATCCTCGTGCTACTTTCTTCTTGACCGAAAAATGCGCAAACACAAAACGTCACACGCTCGTTTGTTCCGATCTCAATTCAGGTAGCATCGCTGTCGAGAACAAGAACTGTACGTTTGCATTTAGGAGCCAAAAACGGATGCATTTGACTGACTAAAGAGAAATATGTTTACATAACATAAAAATAATTAATTTAGGTTTGCTAAATTAAACCATTACTGCTTGTTATATGACAATAAAAAGAACAATGAGTACCACATATGGCACATTATGTCCAGCAACAAACTATTATACAGCAATCTATAGCTATGGTACGGACAAGCAAAGAACTTGTGTAATGTTTGACCTTGAATTATGACCTTGATCTTGAAGCTGGGGTGATGTAAAGTGTGTGCAATGCTCCATCTGGTGATGATGCATATGTGTATGAAGCTTTGTTAAATTATGTTGAGTGGATCAGAAGTTATGTGCGGGACAAGAGAAAGTTTGCAGACGTACAGAAGGTCACAATATGTCCGCCAACAACAGCATGAAACAAATTTCTATTGTTGTATCAAAGATTAATAAGCAAGACTGCAAAACGTAAATGTTTTGTGGAGTAGGACTAATCCGTACAATCGAAGGCAACTTTGTTTTTATGCTTGAAGATGTTTGGCTTCGTGTGAGGAGTTTTCTCAATTCAAAGTTGAAAGGAACCAGGTTTTTCCAGCGGATCTCATGAGGAAGTGTTTTTACCGCCAGAGCAAAGGAGCTAATGAGAAGAAGTTTTCTTCATGGTGATTATCACAAGAGAGCAGCAGAAACGGAAACATGGAGAGTTGAGGGGACAGAATGACCTAAATATGGATAAAATCACATTTTTGTTTTCACAACTTCATATTGCTTTCCAACAGCATTAATTAAATATGTTGTTTTGACTTAATACAAACCAGATTCCAAAAAAGTTGGGACACTAAACAAATTGTGAATAAAAACTGAATGCAATGATGTGGAGATGGCAAATGTCAATATTTTATTCGTAATATAACATAGATGACAGATCAAAAGTTTAATCTGAGTAAATGTAACATTTTAAAGGAAAAATATGTTGATTCAAAATTTCACAGTGTCAACAAATCCCCAAAAAGTTGGGACAAGAAGCAATAAGTGGCTGGAAAAGGGATATTGAGCATATAACGGACAGCTGGAAGACCAATTAACACTAATTAGGTCAGTTGACAACATGATTGGGTTTAAAAAGAGCTTCTCAGAGTGTCAGTGTCTCTCAGAAGATAAGATGGTCAGAGGATCACCAATTCCACCATTGTTGCGCAGAAAGATAGTGCAACAATACCAGAATGGTGTTAGCGTAAAATAGCAAAGACTTTTAAGTTATCATCATCAACCGTGCATAACATCATCAAAAGATTAAGAGAATCTGGAACAATCGCTGTGCGTAAGGGTCAAGGCCGTAAAACTCTACTGGATGCTCGTGATCTCTGGGCCCTTAAACGTCACTGCACCTCAAACAGGAATGCCACTGTCAAGGAAATAACAGAATGGGCTCAGGAATACTTCCAGAAAGCATTGTCAGTGAACACAATCCACCGTGCCATCTGCCGTTGCCAGCTGAAACTCTACAGTGCAAAGAGGAAGCCATTTCTAAGCAAGCTCCACAAGCTCAGACGTTTGCACTGGGCCAGGGGTCATTTAAAATGGAGTGTGACAAAATGGAAGACTCTTCTGTGGTCAGATGAGTCACGATTTGAAGTTCTTTATGGAACACTGGGACGCCATGTCATCCGGACCAGAGAGGACAAGGATAGCCCAAGTTGTTATCAACGCTCCGTTCAGAAGCCTGCATCACTGATGGTATGGGGTTGCATGAGCGCTTGTGGCATGGGCAGCTTGCATGTCTGGAAAGGCACCATTAATGCAGAGAACTATGTTCAGGTTCTAGAACAACATATGCTCCCATCTAGACGTCATCTCTTTCAGGGAAGACCCTGCATTTTTCAACACGATAATGCCAGACCACATTCTGCAGCAATCACAACATCATGGCTACGTAGGAGAAGGATCCGGGTACTGAAATGGCCAGCCTGCAGTCCAGATCTTTCACCTATAGAGAACATTTGGCGCATCATAAAGAGGAAGGTGCGACAAAGAAGGCCCAAGACGATTGAACAGTTAGAGGCCTGTATTAGACATGAATGGGAGAGCATTCCTATTTCTAAACTTGAGAAACTGGTCTCCTCTGTCCCCAGACGTCTGTTGAGTGTTGTAAGAAGAAGGGGGGATGCCACACAGCGGTAAAAATGGACTTGTCCCAACTTTTTGGGGATTTGTTGACGCCATGAAATTTGCAAACAACAGATTTTTCCCTTAAAATGATACATTCTCTCAGTTTAAACTTTTGATCTGTGATTTGTGTTTTATTCTGAATAAAATATTAGATGCTGGCACCTCCACATCATTGCATTCAGTTTTTATTCACAATTTGTTTAGTGTCCCAAAGATAAAGCGCAAATCACTCTGTTTGATTTAACATGTTCAATGTGTAGAGTACACTGGTGGTGCAGAACTATCAAAAATAAAGAGGTTTTATTACCTCTTAATACTTTTTAATGCAATTTTTTTTTTTTTTAAGTTCAAATTAAATTTTTATCAAGTCAAAATAAATCCTAATAGTTGGACAAATATACTGGATCTTCAAAGCCATATGTACAGTCAAAAGGTTTAGCAACCCAGGAACAAATACCTGTCTTTGAGGAGAAGTAGTCCAAAATATATTGTGCAAGACTGAGATACAAGTATAACTATGAGATAAAATCATACTGGGCTTTAATACTTGTCCATTCTGGGTATGCAGGATTTTTAAAAACATGGTTTCTGATAATACTGTTAACAATGAAACAATTATATCAATAAACTTACATTTCCCTCAGACAGTCAGTTCAGTAAGATGATTATTTGATGTATTGTCTTATATTTTGTTCTGGCCAATAAGTTATTTAAGAACTGTTCTGAAACAGTTCCAAAACATTTTGCAACCCAAGAACAAAAACCTGCCAGTGGGTATGGAAAACCTTTATAAAACATGAGATTTCAACATGTCTGAACCCCACCTGCTACTAGAAACATCTAAGACTCTTGTTCCCACAACTCCCCACCAACGATGGGCACTGAAGGAAGTACACAATGTCCTTGATTCACTATGAGGGTTTAAACTCAAAGCTTTGGTGAGTTTGAGCCGAGAACTGCTCAGCATGAGAAGATTATCCTCACACACAGAGCAGTTCTCACATCAAGGGCCAACACTGTAATTTATTGTGATTAATGCACCCATAGAAACCACTACTGTTTGTTTTTTGTAATCCATGTTCGTGAAAAAAAAAAGAAGTAAAGTATGGATGTGAAATGTGCTGCAGCGGAAGTATAAAGTGAGCACCGGTACTTAAAAAATTTTTCATAGAGTAGTTAGTAAGACAACATAACACATCAAGCAGCATTTGATCATTTAACAGGAACATGAACAGTGTACCTGCTCATGCTGGGTGAGAACCGCCTCTCTGCCTGAAAGCACATCAGTGAGGACTTGGATAGACTGCTGCACGACTCTGTCCTTCACTCTCACGTCTCTTTGAAGCTCTTGAAGGACGATCAATCCACTCTAAATTACAAATACCATTTGAGTGGCAGCGCACATATTGAGCGGCTGAACGGAGGTCTGTTTCAAGAGGTGCGCATCTCATACAGTAAATAGTGACTGACATTTAATTATTACGTGCATTAAATGTAACCTTAAAATAAAAAAAGTGTTTTCACACTGTTGTGTATTAAAGGCTCACCTGTAACCTGGATTCTAAAGCTTGGAGCATGAGATGGTTTTCTTGCGGAGACGGGGCTGTCTTTTGTGCTTCAGAGTCTTGACCACGCTAAAACGTAGTTTGAATTAATCCTGGTGCTTTTTGTAAATTGAATTATATGAAGTAGCAGGTTCTGGATCATGATGAATAAAGGTTTGGACTTACGGAGTAGGAAATACCACAAAGGTCAGTGAGGAGGAATTTTTCCAGTGGTTGTCTTGCTACTCCTTGATCCTTAAAAAGCAGCAGCATCTGGTCTGTTCCGTATCCCATGAAGTCATCCACGTGAACAGAACTGACGCCTGACCAAAGGGAAGCTATCTGGAAAGAAACGGACATGTTAAAACAGCGACAAGCATTAAAAAAAACAGTTGTTCAACATGTAATTGAACCCAACAGATTGCACACACCTGAAATGTTTCTTTCCACACAGCACAAACATCCCCTTGTTTGAAGAAGATCACAAACAGGCAGCCATTCCTTCCTGCGTCCATCACCTGAATATCTTCAGCGTGGTCATGAGGTAGCTGACATGCGTCTTTTGCAATCCCATTCTCAAAATAAACGAGCTGCTTATATGAAGTTGCTGCAATCGCAGCACATTTCAGCACGTTGCCTTGCCTTTCAGCCGAGAGGACCAGCATGCACTGGGTGATGCAAATATACGGACGAGGTAAAACCATGGCGCCATCAAACACTTGTCCATCCTCTAGAAAATAGCACAGTGTTGAGCTGGTGGGTTGCTTTTTTGAAAACTGATCTGGAAGGTTTTGCAGCCCAAGAGCAAAACCGTGCCCCTTGCAGATGGGAAGTTCTCCAAAAATACAGTGTGAGATGTCAATGGGTATCTTTCTAACCCCTTCTGCATGGAGAGATGTATAAAACACAGAGTTTTCATGTCCCCACAGCACTGTAGGGCCCTTAAGGATGTAGGCACCCTCCTTCATTTGGTAGGGGAGTTTAAACTCAATGCGGGGCTCCAGCTGGTTTGAGCTGCTCAGAGTGAGGAGACAATAATGAAACCTCTCTCCTCTCTCACTCTTTTTTGTCACCAATATACACGGCGTCCTAACTCTCTTCTGAACATCTAAGACGCATTTACATTTCACAATGTCCACCTGAGCTGCTCCTTTCCTGCTGCTGATGACAGCCGCTCCCTCTGATGCTGCCTTCAGGAACGCGTTGCCTTCAGGTTCAAAGGAAAAACTGCGGAAAATTAGCTCGCCAGTTCCGCTGACATTCAAGGCCGAATCTCGCTTGCAGTTAAATGAGATTATCTTTCCGCCGTGTGAGAGGAGATGGGAATTTTGATCAAAATCGTCCGAGAGTAATCCCTCCATTATGTAACGCTTTTCCTTTCAGGTTCTCTCCTTTCGTGAGTTTGAGCTTACATTGCTGCCTAGTTGTTAGCGGCTATTTTCACGAAACATATCATGTGTGAAAAAAAAATACAACTACTTAATTTAATCTAATGTTATTCACCTTTCCGTAAACACGATTAGTACACTCAAGTAACGCGCCAACTGACACTGAACGCTTCCTGTCGCTCGAAGGGAATTGTGGGTAATAGTTAGTAAACAAATATAATGAACGGCTATCAGTGGCATAGATTTAAGTAACTAAACTGTTCTGGAAACCATACAATATCGTCCGTGCCCAGTATTTGTTTTTAATACGTTCACGGAATTGCTAAATACTTTAATCGCGACCTTGAAATTGTTCCAAAAATCCCTCCTCTCATTTTGGTGTTGTACCAAAAAATGTCACCCCACCATGAAAAGCACTTCCGTCTTCAAGGCGCGTCGAACGAAAATCAGAAGAGACAAGCCGACTCTTGAGGATATAATTATCTATGTAATGGAAAAATTGTTTATCATGAGTAATTCAGATGGGAAGTTTATCTGCAAATCCTTGGGAGTGAAGGCATTGATGTCCACGTCCTGCCTTAAAATGTCCCATGGATAACCGACATTTATATGCACAAATTAAATTTAAATGACTGTGGATAATGTGTCCTCACGAACAGCGAAAAACACGTCATTTTTAACTTTCACGTTAAATTTGTTGATAAAATCGTTCCGAAAAGCGCTTCCTGCGAACGAAAATCTACGAACGGAAATGTGAGTGCTCTTAACGGCTGGGGTACTTTTTTCCGGCACAACACCGCCCTCTGCGAAACAAAAACAACGGGGAGGCGGAGCCAGGGCTCGATCCAAAATGGCAACGTCCGGCTGTCAGTTTCACATTTCGCACTGATTCTTCTGAACAGCTAAAGTTAGCTAACTAGCTGCTTCAGCGACAACGCGGAACTACCACAGAGCTGGGGACAGTTGGACATGGCAGAGCAGGAGCCAGCCGAAGGACTTCAGGTAGTTGTCCAGCGTTAGAACAAAAATATTCGGATAGTATAAAGGTGTATCTAACCTCTGACTCTGTTGGTGGCAGGATCTTGAAAAGAAAATCGAGGAGATCAGACTGAGATTCAAGAATGAGTTACTTCAAGGTAACAGACACTGGATAATCTGTCAGTGACCTATATCCTTGTTAGGATGACATTTTATTTTGCTCGCTTCCCATTAGTTTGCATACATTTTGATACTGTGAGTTAAATATGCAGTAGCTTTAGAGCTCATTAGAGTTTAACAGACAAGTTCAGTTCAGTCTACAGACCTCTTGGTAGATGAATCTTAATTTACACTCCATTTTAAACGTTTTAGTTGTTTAATTGCCTGACTTAGTTAAAACTGAGATGCAGTGTTTTTCATTGTCTTTGCAGATTCAATAGAAAGGTACGACCCCAGAGATGTGGAGAAGCTGCAGAATGATAATGCTCTGGTGGAAGGATACCTGGCGTGGAGGTTTCATGTTGTCGACGATGCTTTAAAGATGATCGATGAGAGTTTCATGTGGAGAAAGGAATATGGTGTAAATGGTAAGGTCCTGTGACATTTTGAATAGTTTTGTCATAATAGTGTCTAGTGTCATATGTAAGAATTAGCATTTCCCTGTTTAAGCTAAAGCTCTTGAGAACACCTAGTCTTGGTTTAATAATTATAATCGTGTTTAATTTCCAAGATGTTTGTCTTAAAAATCCAGGACACAATTCTGATTACAGAAATAGGATTATAATAAACACCTTATTCTTTCAGAACGTTTTTCAGTACACGCACAACGGGCAGATTTCAAGGCACACAAGAAGTTCTGAAGTCCAATACCCAGCTTTGCCTAAAAGTAAAAATGTTGACATTAGCATGCAGTGTGTGTTGCAGGCTTGCAACACAAATCAGCGTTTGGCTCTCTGCTTATCTGGGGGAAAACATGGACAGGGTCTCTTTGTCTTTTAAACACCCATATCTCCATACGTAGTTGCCTGGGAGAACAATGCCCTCTGTTTCTCCTCAGAAATGTGAAAGAGTCGTTGTTTGCTCGCCTTTAATCCGGCAAATTCTATTTGTCAGCCAGTTGTTTTAGGGAATGTGATTTACTAGCTTGAAGGACCAAGCGAGGTTATATGACTCAGTCCAGTTTGTATTTGAAATATCACAAAGAGTTGATGACAAGTATGCATTTTCAGGCCATCAACACCAACAAAATTCTAAACAAATTAAATTATGTAGTACTGCTGTTTGGTATTTGTTGTAGCCATACTGTATGTTTCATATTGTTTAAAGTGTTTCACTCTGTGTGCTTTAGACCTTACAGAGAGCACCATTCCCAGGTGGATGTTTGAGACTGGTGCTGTCTACCTCCATGGCTATGACAAAGAGGGCAACAAACTCTGTATGTGCATGTTCTATTACATAGTTACCCATTCACATTTTAGTGCTACAGACCTACAATGCAGCCATCTTCTTTTTGTAATGAAAAATAACTGAACTGCCCATTTTGTGTTTAGTCTGGTTTAGGGTGAAGCTGCACGTCAAAGATGCAAAAACCATCCTGGACAAGAAGAAGTACGTCGCCTTCTGGTTGGAACGGTATGCGAAGAAAGAACCTGGGATGCCACTCACCGTTGTATTTGACATGACAGAGTCTGGCATTAGCAATATAGTAAGTCCACAGACACAACTGAGTCCTACTTTCGTAATCTTTTATAGTATTTGTGTTACATCTTTTAAATCTCTTTTATGGTAATCATAATTCAGCATTAAAGACAGACCATCCTTTTGCTTCCTCTCATCTTCCATGCTGTTTGAGTTGTGGTGTCACAGAGACTGATGCTCTTTAATGGTTTAACACTTTAGAGATTAAAGTAACCTCTAAATCCTGATGGTCAATTCGAGTGGGCGGTCTAATCCTTTTGACTCACTCTGTCACAGACGTCCACACCTTCAAGGAGCTCGTCTTTTATGAGCGTATTGTGCCGGCTGGGCTCTTTACAGGAGAAATAGTTCAAATGATTGCAAATAAACCAGCACGAGCGAGGCAGAAAGAATAAATAGCTGTGAAGTCTAAGTGTAAAATGTGTAGTTTTAGAAGATACTCGTCTTATTGAGTTCTATTGGATCACAGTGTTGGCGAGACTGTGGGAGGCCAGGATGATCTTATTAGAGTTTGGCAGTGAGTCTCCTGCATAGCAAGCAGATTCTAGATAATTATGGAGTAGAGCCGGGATGTAAGGGTCCTACCTGCTGGCATTTTGGATGTTTGTCTGATCATTTAAAGTAAGATAAAACCCCAAAGTGAACAAGAATCACAAATGTGAATTTATGTAAAATCATCTAAAAGATGGCAAACATGAGCCCAAAAGAAACTCTCAAGATGTCAGCTCTAGCTAGCTCTTTTAGCTTGTTGTAGAACGATATCCGTGAAAATACAAAAAAAAGCAGAGCTATTATTTATTACTGAGGAATTTCCATTTTTGTTTATACAGAAATATTGCTCCAGTGTTGTTAAAGAATTATCAAGAAATGCTTTCAAAACGATCTCTGAGGAACCAGAGTTCATGCTCAATAATCCAGGTACAAATCCAACAATGTTCAGTCAGGTCATCTGGATGGTTTTTTTTTTTTTTTTTTTTTTTTTTTTTTTTTTTTCTGAGACATTTCATCCTTAATCCAAAGGACTTCTTCAGGTCGAGGAGCCACAAATAAACTGGAGTCCCACAAGTACAACACTCCCATAGTGGGGAAAAAAAACCCAGAAGAAGTCCTTTGGATGAAAGATGAAACATCTCAGAAAAAAAAGAAACCATCCAGATGACCTGACTGAACATTGTTGAATTTCTACCTGGATTATTGAGCATGAACTTTGGTGTTTTGAACCATTTTGGCATGACTGCCTCAGAGGAGTTGACGGGGGAGAGGGCAGGCCCCAGAAACCATCTTATCACCATAAATCTGATTTTTTTTTTTCCCCACTATGGGAGTTGGTGCTTGTTGGACTCCAGTTTCTTTGTGGCTCCTCGGACTGATGAAGTCCTTTGGATGAAGAACAAAACGTCTTAGCAAAAAAAAAAAAAGAAACCGTCCAGATGACCTGACTGAACTTTGTTGGATCTCTGAGGGAGTTGTGAATGTTTAAGTTGGTCCCATCAGAGCTCGATGCAGTAAAAGAGAACAAACATTCTCCTTGTTTAAGTATATATTTTAACTTGTTGATCTTTTACTTTATAAATCTTTATTTTCTATTTTTGTCTTTTATCCTTTTTTCAGGACATGGAATTTGTAAAGTACGTCATTAACTGCTTCAAAGTGTATTATCCAAAGTTTTTATGTAAGTATCACACAGTGTTTAAACGTAAATCAAACAGCTGGTCACATTAAAACACGTTACACTAGTTTATTAATAATTAATCTGCTACAGATTAGGAAATATTAAACGTTTTTGTTTTGTTTTCATTTTTAGCCAAAATGGTGATAGTGGATATGCCTTGGATCATGAATGGTAAGTGTTTGCATTTCATGTTATTTTCATTTCCTTCAGTGGTTTCACTAACACCAGACGTTTGACTCGTCAACCTGTCCGCGCTGCAGCTGCGTGGAAGATTGTGAGGTCGTGGTTGGGTCCCGAGGCAATCAGCAAGCTCAAGTTTGCTTCCCGAGCCGAGATCCAGATGTTCATCAGTTTAGAGTACCTGCCTCCTCACATGGGTGGAACAGTAAGCATTTTTTTTTTGTTTTTCACTTACACCTCTGATGCACTAAACAGCTTTAAACTACTGGTTTTTTTCCACGGGTCACTTTCTGTTACTTGGGGAAGTTTTAGTGCTGACTCACAGAGGTTTACTATTGACTAATATTTGTCATTTTTAAGGGGAGCTACGTACTCTGTGTCATTCATGTGTAATTACACAGTCATCACACCTGCTGTAGTGTTTAGAAAAGTTTCTATATTTGTGCTTCTTTAATCTTTGTCATGTTTCTCGTAATTGTTTGAATTGATAAACTGAGGTGGCGTAGAAAATGTATCTTAAGAGCAGAGAAAGCGTGAAAGTGACGTCCTTGTTATTCTTGTTTTGCTCGAACTTAATGAGTTTCTCCGATCGCATTTATCGACTCCACTGCACACCTTTGACTGTTTGTCCTTAAAGAACTTAAAGACTTGTGTCTGCAATGAGCTCAACGATGTGCTCTTATTCCAGGACCTCTTCAAGTACAACTACCCACCTCTTCCTGATGATGACTTCCAGTCGCCCATCAGTGAAAACGGACTTCTTGTCATGGACGACGACGCCGAGAGCAAAATGGGCGATGCCGAAAGCACCTCTGAGATTGTGCCAAAGCCCAAAAAGGTACATCTTTCACCTTTTATATGTAGCTGCTTTTTTGTTCTTCTGGAATGTAGACAGGTTCATATAAATCATACGCTTACAAATATATATTTACAGTTTTCCACACTGTTTAATTAAACGACAGGAAAAGAATGTTTTAATACAGTCATGACTGAAATTGTTGCTGACAGAGCGGGCAGGAGGTGTGTTTTTGTTTTGTTGTTAGACAGTTGTTCTAATCTCTGCTCATCAGATTAGATGCTGCACATTCAGAAGCCCCTCCTTGTCTTGCATTGTTTCAGCCGACCCTCAGATTGCAGCCCATAATCAGGCCACTTTGTAGAAGCACTCCACTGATACGGTAATCGTCAAGCTTCTAATCATTGTGCGCTCGTGGAGTTAACTCCTGGTGTCTTTGGCTCGGAGTTAAATCCCCAAAAAGCCCTTGCAGGCACTGTGCTTCTTCTCGTGTTCCTCATGTGGTCCACAGAGGGTCTGGTACTTAAGCTCTTCCATGCTGTCACTAGATTCCTCCTCTCCCTGCAGCATGCAGCCCCATCTCTGAGACAACCTGCGGGCTGAATATTTTACAGCTGCTGTCGTCTCCTTCTCAGACTTGTGTCGCCTCGACTGGAGCTGGCCCACAGCTTATGTCACTCGTGTCACAGATTCTACTCACTTCCTTCAGGACTGTTCTCCCCTCACATTATAATCTTTTTCAGCTTCCTTTCCTGCTTACAGGCATAAAAAAAGGGATGGAAGTAGACTGAAGATCCAGTTTTAGAACATTCCTGTTGAAGAAAGGTGCGCAAGTAAACCGTTGTGTTCATTTTTTATTTGGCGGCTTTTTATTGCCACGCTGCTGATTTAGTGTTAAAACCAGGAGCGCCAGCCTTAAAGTTAAAGTTCAGACTTTTTGAAGTGGGGGTTTTGTAAAAGGTTTATGAACAGTTAATATCTTATCTGTTGTAGATAAACCTCAGTTTGAAGAAATAGAGTTTGAATCTGACCACACTTAGCTCGTCAATTTGGTCAGAATGTATTTCTCCAAACTGACCTATCTACAACAGGTAAGATGTTAATTGTTTGTACCTTTAAATAGAACCTTTCAAAAGACCAACTGGTGCTCTGTCACATAAAACTCCTTGTCATCAAACAAACAATGGCTCCCTTTGTTAAAAACACCACTTTTGTTATACACAGAGATTTAGATTTATAGACTGCCTGTTAATTATTAGCCTCGCTGTAACCTACAGAGTTTTCGTTTATTGTATCATAAACATAAAATCTTTTCACGCACTTTCCCAATTGTGTGAAAGGTTATAGAGCTTCGCCTTAGACCAGTGTTTGTTCAAATGTTTTTTCAAAACATTTCCATTAGCAGAATATTCCACTGCAAACTCTTCCACTAGCAGCAGCGTCAGTCCTCATGCATATCTGAGATACAAGCCCTGCTGGGAAGAGGAAGACGTCTTTCAAGTCAGCTTGTTAGAATAAACTTACACCATCGCTCCGAGGTGACTGCACACGCTGAGAAACTGTAACTAAATATAACAGAAGGAAGTCCATGAATATGCCTGTCAGCACGCCGAGGATCTTCGGGGTTCTAAATATTCACAATGAGAGGAAAGTGGTTCAAAAGTTTCCTTTTACTTCCAACTTTGACCGTCCAAGTAATCCTTAACACCGGCTGAAGGTCACACGTTCATTAAAAGCGGAGCCCTGAGCAGCCTTTTTGGCCAGAGGCTTCTTCATTCACAGCTTTAGTGCTATCGAGCAGATAAGACCACCGATTTAATAACTTCCTGCTTAACCCATATTTTTTTCCCTACTTCCTTTCTCTCTCTCTTTTTTTTTTTTTTTTGCATGTATGTGGAAGTTTGAATATTTAAAGTAAGCATAATGAAATGAAAGCAAAGCTTTTGATGTGAAACGTGGCCAGTGTCGAGAGGTTAAAAAGACGTGTATAGTCACAATAACAGATGAGTTAGCTGTTTTATGTGCTTCTTGCTACGTATACTTCTTAGCACAGAGTAAACGTCATTCAGGCATGCTTTTATTTTTTTTTGGTGGATGTTATTTCCAGTAGCCTGTGCACTGTGGCTCTGTGTTAATGTACCAGACTCTGAGCTTCAAGCCTGTCTGAGTGCATTCCACACGGTATTTATGCTTTCTGATTCACATCCTTGAAATAAAAAACAAACTCTACTCCTCCACCTTATTCACTATTTGTCTCAATCTGAAGTCCTCCAAAATCCAGGAAGCACTGAGCTGACGATGGCTTCAGGGGGTTAATTTCTATTCTCTCTCTTTTTTGTCTTGAAACAAGGGCTGGCTGTGGTAAGGCAGTGTAGGATCACAACCGTAGGAGCTCAGAGTCTGGACGATCTCTGCGAACTGGAAGGGCAGGTGTACTCACGTGACTCACATTGTTGTGAGCGCACCTCCCATCACAGTCACCTGATGCTGCTGCAGCTCCTTGACATATCCTTGGCCTGTCACGGATCTTACATTTCACTCTGAACCCCAAGTTGAACAGCCACAACATTTCTGACCTTGTCATTAAGGACTCATGCCTCAGCAATTGGCAGCTGATGATTTGCACATCGTCCTACCGTTAAGGAAATGAGACACATTTCACAGTTTAATTAGCTCTTAGTGAGAAAACGCAAGCACTAGTGCCCATAATAATTTCACATTCTATGTATTGTCTAAGATAATTACTGTTTTATTACAGTAGACCAAATTATTAACCCTCAGCACTTGATTTTAAAGCACAACTGCTATGAAGTTACTTTGTAATATGTGCCTTGTTCTTTAACATTTTTAACCAAGTTTCAACTAACGTGAAGGTTTCAATCATGGAGACAATCATGGTGTTTTTGCCTTTTGTGTATATCACTAATTTTTTGTTGCAATTATTTCTTTGTCCTTATGTTTCATTACGTACACGATGTGTGTAAATCACTTAAGTTCTGTCATTTTGAATGTCATTTTGTGATCGTCCTTCATTTCTTTAGTGCCATTTCATTTGTTTCTCGTGATGAATTATCATTTATTTTGTTCTTATTCTGTGATATAATTTTACATTACATGTGGCAGAAAGGGGACCAATGGTTTTTCTTACTAATATAATGGTGTTTTAGTTTAAGTGTCTGTATCAAATTGCACACTAGCTCAAAAAATTTTAACTCTAACTTTGGGATGTTATATTTTTCTACTGACAGTTCTGATAACCTCGTTGTGTTTAATCTTGCTCTTTAAAATGAATAAATTTGATCAGAAGCTGCTTTTCTCTTGATGTCTTTATTTTGCAGCGTGACAGACATTTCAATAAGCTGGAAAATTTACCGTATATACTTCCTTGCTGAGACGACAGTGTTTCTATCACATGTCTAGTCTGTTTTGACCGGACCTTTCTCCTTCCCTTTACTCCGTCTTATCCGCTTGACTTACTCCGTGTCCCACTGAACACACTGTGTGGTCAAAAGCATCCATTTCCCCAAACTGACCTACTTCATCCCTAACTGCTCAGACTGATTCAGTTATTGCACAATTCCAGTCAGCCATGTGGGGCCTGTGGTCTGTCTGCAGAGCATTCGGGCCAAAGTTTGTGAGCATTTTACTGAAGCTAAAGCACTCGTGCTGCAGTGATCTCATGACGTTTGTCCTGGTTAAACCACTTTCGTTCAATGACTTTTTTAATTGAGAGAAATCACGAGTTTGTGGGTTACACGGGGTTCCTTATTTTTTATGGACAGGCTTGTGTGCTCCCTCTAGAGACGCTGTTGGAACAAAGCTCATGGTTTTCTCTGTAAACTAAAAAAAAAATGTTCAGTAAAGATTCTATTATTATAACACGGACCTTTGACCAATATTTCACTAGAATTACAGAACATCAACAAGGCATTCATGCACTGATAGCTTTTCATGAAAGGCAGGGGCCAAGAAGAGGAGCGAGATAAAGGGTCATGTGATTATAAACTGTACTGAATGTGTTTTTAATGCAATGGTTTTTGCTGTTTCAGGTCAATTTCCTGGAAGACAGTTTGAGGTCAGAGGACAGCGATAGGGGGGATGCAAGCATTAGGATCAAAGGAGCCAGGAAGCCGGTGACCACCTTCAAAGGTCTTCTTCTAGATGTTAGGTAGGTCAAGCTGCCAACACTTCTACAACTACTTATTTCTTTAAATATGCTGCCTTCGTGTCAAACACTGGATTGGTAGGTGACAGCATGACGGAGCAGTGGTTAGAGCTGTCCCCTCTCAGGGCGATCACAGGATTTCGTTGCCTTTCTGGGTGGAGTTGGCATGTTCTCATGCACATGTGGATTTTCTCCAGATATGCCTGTTTTCTCCCACACATTACATGTTAGGTTAACTGGTAACTCTAAATTGTCCTCAGGTGTGTGTTTGAGTGAGAATAATTGTCTAATTTCTGTGTCTCTATCAAGTTCAAGTATCTTTATTATCCTCAAGGGGCAATTTGTTTCAGTCAGTAGGCACACTGAACATCCGTACTAGGCAGGATATTGAGACATTAAAGTAACAGTACAGAAATCATTGGTTGTTGAAAAGCCTGATCGTTACAGGGATAAATGAGTTTTTCAGTCTGTTCGTTCTACAGCTGGGCGTCAGATACCTGCATCCAGATGGAAGCAACCCTGATATCACCATGGAGTGGGTGATCAGGATCTGCCAGAATCAGCCTGGCCTTGCTCACTGACCTCATCTTGTGTAGGTCAGTGAGGTTCTGTAGAGCTATGCCAGCAGTTTTGCTGCACATCCTGACAATCCCCGAGAGTTTGTTCCTGTTTTTGCAAAAGTCCAAACCAACAGATGAAGGTGAAAGTTAAAAGAGACTCAATAAAACATGAGTAAAACATGCTCATAAAAGTAGAATGAACATTAAAACCACAGAGCTTCTGCTAAAAACACATTCTCTGGTGGGCCTTCTTACAGAGTTCACATGTGCATCAAAGGTCAGTTTTTCATCAAGAAGAGTTCCAAATATTTATATTGTTGCATCGCCTCACCTACTGTATCAAGGGTAGACATACCAGTAAGAGGTTTCCGTTTGTCCGAGACGACCTGTTTTCATCACTGACAACCAGATCTAAAGTGAAAAAGACATGGATTAAAATGATCAGTTGCCGCAACAGATTTCCGTCATCTTAAAATAAAAAGGGGAGAAATGTGTTTTGTGGTCTTGTTAAAACCATCCAATCTGATGATGATACAGGAATTAACAGGGATGCTGCTTCCAACAAATAAAGAGAACCAGAGCCACAGTCTTATCCAATCAGAGCAGAGCCGGGGGGGTTGTGCTGTCTGATACATGGCAGGTGTGCAGTGTTCCCAACTTAAAGACAGACTGCAGGTGAGAGCACCAATCAGTGTTTGTTGTACTATGTCCAAGGACACCAGATTATCCTAACCAAAGGTGATGATGTGAGAAATTATTAAATGTCCGTGTTCACACCACCAATCTAACTGTAGCCGGGGGAGATACCAGAACTGAAACACCATCACCCCCTCTTCACACATCGCGCCCCAACATCCCCGGGACTTTTGTGGCTAAAGTCTAACTATTTATTGATTGTTAGTGTATTCTGAGCATCGGTACCATCGTACAGACACATCCAACTTGTGCATGTGACCAAACTCTGGGTCAGAGAGGGAGAGGGCACCAGCCTGAGTCTCACAATGAGACGGACTGCATCTGCTGCTTCAGTTCTTACAATATTAACGCTAATATATGCCCCAGATTATAACAAAGATGTCTCTGTTTAACTTTAATTTTTTACTTTAAACTCTCAAAGTTCTCTCTGAGAGTCAGCTTCAGGTGTAGTTTATCATAAATATCTACAAATTCAATTCTGCATGATGTTTTAGCAACAAGGTGTTGTGTCTGTTTGGATGAGCTAAACTTGATTATCTTTAGAACCATTCTGAGAGGCCATTGTTCTGTGATAAATACAATTTAATAAGTGATCAAATATAAAAAAATTAATAGTATTAAATGACTACATGAGCTGAAATCCTGTAAATATAATCACTTTGAATGAAATAATCATTTTAGGGGAAAAATCTGTCAGTCTGGCAAATTAAAAAAATGTTAATTTTAAGTTAATTTATACTCTGCAAATGATTTTCTGTGCTATAATTTTATAAAATAGACCTGACAACCCCTGAAAACACTGAGATGACATAAAAGTAAATTACAGAAACGTTCAAAACCCCTCTCTTCCTTCAGAATGCCAGTGGTCTTGATGGTGCATGTTAAAATCTTCTTACAACTTCAACTCTTCATTAAAGAACACTATACTGTGTACTTTTACTAAGGTCCATCCATCCTTAGTGACCTGTGTGCAGAAAAAATTCTCAAACGTGCAGTGTTGGGGGGGGGGGGGGGGGCTTGGATAACCTGTAAGTGTAGAAAAAAAAATCAATCTAAATATTTTTTCTGCTTTAATCCCTGCCTTAAATATGCTGTGAGTGCCTCTCTTGCAAAGTCTGATGGCAAGAGAAAGGGTGAGGAGGAGAGCAAGGAAGTCCCACTCAAGCAGAAAGAGTCTGCCACTTGTAGTTTGGAAATTTCAAGCAGTCAACAAGATGGCCGACTGAGAACATTTGTATATAGTAAACTTTGTTTATAGTCCAATATACTTATTAATTTACATTTTTCTTGAGATTTTTTGCCTTTATTGTTATGGTTGTCAAGAGGTTGTCCAGTGGAAAATGTCCTTATGTCCGCCCCTAATTTAATTATGCAATGAATTTAATGTCAACACTTTATAATATAGCCATCCATCCATTCTCTTTACCCACTTCTCTTTTCCGGGTTGCAGGAACCTGGTCCCAATCCCAAGCAATCATTGTGGGAGAGGCAGGGTACATACTGGACAGGTCACCAGTCCATTATAGACATGCATCAGAAAGCATGAATCACCCTGCTCCACTCTGATTGGGTAAAACTGTGGCTCTGGTTCTTTTTCTGTTGAAAGCAGCATAAATCCCTGTATCATCATTAGATTGGGATGAATTAAAAAAAACAAAAAAAAAACACGCCCTTCCATTTTTAAAGATGACATAAATCTGTTGTGGCGACAGAGAACTTTATTCCATGTCTATTTCACTTGATTGACCTCTGAACAAACTCAAGGTGAGGTCTGGTTGTCCGAGATGAAAATAGGTTGTCTTGGACAAACGGAAACTGCTTATGTTGACCCCTGTTAAAACTGCCACTTTGAAAATGAAGCAATTATCTAACACTTTTATACGTGTTCTTACAAAAATACAACAAAATGTCTAATTTCAAGCATACTGTAGACCTTGGGGGTTCAGACCATGGTTCCATATTGCTGTACAAACTCTTATGAGCATGGCTTGTTTTAGTTCTCAACTCATACGGGCACAGAGGAACTCTTAAATCAGTTGGGTTTACTCTTTGAGCTTTAATTCACCTGTCTGAGGATACCAGCAAGTTTAGGCTTTTAGAGAAATGTCCTAATGATTGGAGAATGGATTGCTATGTTCTCCAGAGGCCGAGTATTGAAGTGTCACCATGAAGTAGATGCCTGAAATATTTGTGTTTTTTTTTTTTTTTAATCTTTGATATGTTAGCCATGTGTGATCATTTGTCTATTGCCTACATAGTGTGAATTACAGTTTTTCAATTGCATTGGTTTATGATTAAATAACCTTTGATGGTTTTAGCATGGTAATAAATGCATTGTGGTGTTGTTGACTTGTCAACTTCACCATCCAGTTCTAAGCACTGCTGTGCCTAATTTTGGTGTAGGTTTACATATGAATTTAATTCATATATTTTGGATTAATTAGTACAAAAAAGCCAGCTTTGGTAAGCCAGGGTCAGAGCATCAAGGGCCCCGCCTTCAGCTACCTCCCATGGTATCACGCACTCAACTTTTATGGTCCCTCCTGCAGGTGGTGGGCCCACAGGAAGGCAAATCCATGTAATTCATTTGGGCTGAGTTCTACCAGGCCCTATGGGTAGAGGCCCTGTCAGCAGGCACTTGCTGACGAGTCCCACCCCCAGGCTTGGCTCCAGGGTAGGGCCCTTTGTAACCCACGTCTGGGTAAGGGACACTGAGCTCCATGTTCTTCTCCATGTTGGGAGTAAGGGGCTACTTCCAGTGGAAGATATCTTGTACCTCAGGGTTTTGTTTATGAGTGAGTGAAGAATGCAGCGTGAGCTCGACAGATGCATTGGTGCAGCTTCCTCAATATTGTGGATTCTATGCTGGTCCATTTTGGAGGTGACAGAGCTGAGATACAAGGTGAAGCTTTCTGTCGTTCTATGTTCCTACTCTCACCTAAGGTTATGAACTCTGAGTAGTAACCAAAAGGACAAGATTTAAAAAGAAGCCACATCCCAGCTGAGGCAGGAGACATTAAGTCTGAGTGGGCCATGTTCCGTGCCTCAGTGAAGTGAAATTGTGGATACAAACGGTCAAAATGAGTTTTTTTCCACAGGCATCTGAACTCTCCTTTAGAGATAGGGTGAGACGTTCAGTTATCTGGTAGAGCCACTTTTCCTCCACATCAAGAGGAGCCAGTTGAGGCAGTTAAGGCATCTGGTAGGGATGCCAACTAAACTAGTGAAGCTAGGGTGCTTGCAACTTGTTGCTGCCTACTAGCAGCACTCCATCCTCATCCACCCCAGGTTCCCCTGCTGACTACGTTGCACAACTAACCCAGAAACTTCAGTCATTCTTCAGTTCTGCCTCCCTGAATGCAAGCTACGCAAATAACCAGCAGGAACGCCAATACAACAAAAATGTCAAACTCAACCCTTATGATTTAGGAGACATTGTGTGGTTGAACAACCCAATTACTGAAAAACAAAAACCTTGCTTCTCACTGGAGGGGTCTTATTGAAAAATTTGGTGTCTTGGGTCAGTTGTTGATTCTCCAGGGGTGGCGTACAAGATTAGTTACCTCTTGTACCAGTCTGACAAGTCCCAGATTGCTCATTACAACCGCCTTATGGCTTGCAATGCTCTTGTGCCAGAATCTTGTCAGTGTGGCAGCATCATACGAGATAAGTTGTGCAATATGTCTGATTTGACTGTAGCCTATAGGTACTAATGAAAGAGTGCGTACAGCATGGGTCGGTCTTTAAAAGCTGAGAAAATTGTGCAGATCCTTTCTTGGTGACAACACTGCTTTTGGTCTTCTCTCAACTGACTGTGTTAACTGAACCGTGGAGCTCAAGACATACTTTTCATCCAATCACAGAACAGGTTGTTCTAACCTTTTTCCAAAGATGGCTCAATCACTTTTTTTTCTATTTGATTTGTCCTGCTATCTTGCATGATACATTCATATCTGTGAACCAGGAATTCAGTCTAATAGTTTTTTTTTGTTTACCTCTTGCCAGTTTAAGTCACTATTAGGATGGAAAATAGTTTGGTTTTAAACAACATTATCAGTTAGAATACGCTAAACACAAAAAACTCATGAAAACTCAGCTTTCATACAGTTTCAGTTTATGTGATTTGGCTGCAGCAACATTTGTTCAGCATTTTCCCAGCAGCCTGCGCGAATCAGACAAACACATCAGTTTGTTTTTAGCTAACAGTTGGGCATGAGTGCTCATGTCTGTCTCTTATCTGTCCGGCGCTTTCTGCACCTTCAGCCAACTTGTGTCGGACGTTCAGATGAGCCAGCTTCTTTCTGATAGAGTTGCGACTGATTTCTGATTGTAAGACCTAAAACCTCGGAGGTCAGCGTGGTTGTGGAAGAATTGCTGCTCAATTTTATTCCTGTAGTTCATCTTCTGGTCTGTCATCTAAAAAGTCTCCTGAGGCAGCAGGAGTTCAATGATCATTAATATTTCTAAGGGATATGCAAGAAAATGGTTAGGTTGTTTCACATATTGATTCAGAGCATTAAGTTGGTTATGACGTGTTTATGTCCAGATTGATCCAGTCACACATGAGCAGAATTTAAGGATATTTCCAGTCGATATTTTTATTGATCAAGAGCAAGCTGGTGTTCTTAGTCATTACATTCAGGAGCTTTCATCTCTTCTTGACCACGTCAAAAGACGTGTATTTCATTTGACTTTCATTGAACTCTAAATAAATGGTTGACTTAAAAACCAGCGTGCTGAAGTATTTTTTCCCGTTTCCTCACTACTGTACAATGTCGCTTCTTGTTTTTATGAATAATGTCAGCTGCACTCCGTTTTCCCAGTGTGATGGCTTTGAAGAGAGGATTTTTGACTGCTCTAAGCAGTGAATTTTAGAGATAAACAGATTAAAATGAGCCTTAAATGCAGTTGTGCTCCAGAGCTGGGCTTTAATTCAAGACTGGGGGCTTCAGAGGAGAGGAGGGGGCTTTGATCAGGAATTTGCCAAAAGGTTCCTAGAGCCTGAAGTCTCTCACAGAGTTTTCTTCTACAGCTAATTTATGGGAGAATAGGAATACAGAAGGACATGAAGAAGGGGGAAAAGTACTTTCTTCATGGCAGTTTTAGTCCATGAAACACAACCATGCTGCATACAAAGCAGAAATATAATCCGTACTAAATTCTTGTTGGCAAAGTTTAAGTCCTCAGTGTTCACTGTGCAGAGCCCAAATCCATCCAATCATGTGCTTTTTACTGACAGATTGACTGTTGTAAACCTGGTTAGGTGAAAAATCGAGAGCTCCCCATCCCAAACAAATCACATTACCTCATGACGGCATTTTGAAGTCACAATTTATCATTTGGTTCTGGAATTTATTGCTTTATTCTCCCCAGAATACAATTTATTTCAGCTCCAACACAGGGAAACACCCGTCTGTAAATCCAGTGTTCTTTGGTCACATTTGGGACACAATTAGGAGCCCATCAGAGAATAGATTTTTATTCTTTGTATTCAATACGGTATATACAATGTTTGTTTTTAATTTCTGGTGTTTTCTGTATAGCCAATCCAAGCCTCTCAATCAAATATCCCAGACATCACGAATGATTCTGTAACACACGGCAGCACTCCAGATTCACCGAACAGGGTTACCACAGGTCGTTTCTTCCAGCAGCTGTCAGGCTGTTCAACCAAAGCTACTCTTTCAACCTCTTTAACTCTTGAGACATCTTTAAAAATAACTATACACTTAACACCTTTGGACCTAAAATGGTCTGATTTGACGAAAGCCCGATTAGGATATCCACTGGTTTGGAGAGCTTTTTTCGTGTGTTTCTCTTCCTCCTCTCTTTGTGGGGACATGTTTAATTCAATTCAATTCAGTTTATATAGTGCCAAATCACAACAAAGTTGTCTCAGGGCACTTTACAGGAACATTCACATACATAAACGCCAAGTAGTAAAGTTCTCTATCTAAGGAATCCAGCAGACAAGTTGAATACTGGCTTCATTGCAGTCTCCCATCCTGAGCAAGCACAGTGGCAACAGTGGAAAGGAAAAACTCCATTTTAAAAGGAAGAAACCTCCAGCAGAACCAGGCTCAGGACAAGCGGTCATCTGCTTTGACTGGCTGGTTTGAGAGGACAGGAAGGAGAGACAGACGAACATAGAATGGTAGGACCAGGTATAGGTCCAGGTGTATCTGAAAGACAAAAAAAAACATGTGTCAAGGATAGAAAAAATAATTACAAATACAAAACAGGTTGAGCAGAGTAAGTAAAGACAGTAGCAGGGTGAAAATTGTAGTCAGTTTGTCCTCCAGCAGTCTAAGCCTATCGCAGCATAACTAAGGGACAGCTCAGGAAACCCAAGCTGACCCTAACTTTAGCAAAAAGGAAAGTCTTAAGCCTAGTCTTAAAACTGGATAATGTGTCAGCCTCACGGACAGAAACTGGAAGTTGGTTCCACAAGAGAGGAGCCTGATAACTGAAAGATCTGCCTCCCATTCTGTTTTTGGAAACTCTAGGAACCACAAATAAACCTGCAGCCTGAGAGTGAAGTACTCTGTTTGGAAAATATGGAACAATAAGATCTGTAATATAAGATGGAGCTAGGTTGTTGAGAGCTTTGTAGGTTAGAAGTAAGATTTTGAATTCTATTCTGGGGTTGACATGGAGCCAATGGAGAGAAACTAAGTGTAAAGTGTAGTCTAAAGTTCTCACAGAAAGTTTGTGTTCCAGTAAGTGGCGAGAGTCAAACAGAAGATACTGATCTGTGTGAGTGTTTCCTGTAAACTTTAATGTTGAAGCTTTCATCTCTTTCCATGTTCACCAAACAGTCCAGAAAAGGCAGCTTGTTGTCGTTGGCATCCTCTCTGGTAAACTATGTTATCCACAGAGTTTATGTCTGCTAGACACTTGTACTTCTTTCACATATTTTTTAATTATATTGACCCAAGTGTCATCCACATATCTGAACAAGTGGCTCGGTGTTGTTCCCTTGAAAGAATCCAGGGCTCTCTGTTCCATTTCCATACAAAAACAGCATCTTTTATAACGGTGAGTTATTTTGATGGAATGGCCGATGTCTGATATTGAACTTTAATGCAAATATTGGCCGATACCATGACGTTAATATCGTGCATCCCTATTTGTAACTGTGTCTAGAGTAAATTGAGTAACTTGAAATGTTGTGTTAATGGAAAGAAATGTACTAATGTAATGAGCTATGCAGAACGATAGATGGTAAAATAACTGTAATTATTGTAATTTGTTTCTATCTAGCTCTCACGTTGGTTGATTACACAGATGGTTTCAATAAATCATTAAACCACCAGTTCTGGCCTTCTTGATATTGACTGGACGCTACACTCTATGTGATGTGGTGTGTTTCCCACAAGAGAGACTAAAATACCAGCAAGATGTTGTTCAATATCAGTTTATGCTGTTGATAATGGGTCTGAGTGATGTTCCTATTTTGTGGATTTTAGGAAGTCCAAATAAGCGTGACTTGGCTTCCTCTGGATATAACCTGTGGTAAAGTTAACGACTGATTACCTTGTTGGAGTTGTTTTTGCATTTTTTTCCCCCAAAAGACTTTAATCTTTAAATAATAAAATGTCGACATGCCAGCTCATGAAGAGAACTAAATCAGATGGAATGCCCCATTCCCCCAGCAGCAGAATATTTTGTTGAAACGGTTCACTGTGAAATAAAAAGCAATTTGTAGTAAATAAGAGAATCACATAAGTCCTGTTCCTGAAAGCTTTATTTTTTAGTTGCAGCATATTTCTATAAATATTCTCCCTCAGGGGAGACTTAATGCGTAGCAGGAAAATTTACATACCTCAAGATAATTAGACCCCACAGATACCTCAGTACAGGAAATGTAGCAGCCCAGAGTGTATAAATAAAGACGCTTACAAGAGAAATGAAGAGGCGCGCTGGGGAACAAATAGAGGCAGTTGTCTGATTTTCAAGATCTGATACACACCCAGACAGATTTTACTGTTGTTGTTTTGTTTTTTTTAACAATATTTTTCTCTCTCTTTATTTCCTCCTTTAGCCCTGCAGAAGAACTGTGCTTTGGTTCTGGAGACAATGAGAGGAAATGCCTCATTATCTTGAGCAATGTGACCAAAAATCAGGTGGCCTTTAAGGTGAGTCTGAAAGGATGTTAACCCACTTGTGTGCCTCGTTTATTTAAACTGTTCCATGATCAATGAATAACAAGTGACGTATTCTTTAAATATTAAGTGGTAACAGAGTGGTATATTCTACAATAAGCATTTTTGGAGAGATTTAACTGAAGAAATGTGGGTTTTAATTTATTGTCTGCCTGCACAGGTTCGAACCACAGCACCTGAGAAGTATAGGGTGAAGCCCAGCAGCAGCAGCTGTGAACCAGGATCTTCAGTAGATATAGTCGTGTCCTTACATGGAGGTATTACACACAAGCTCTGCACTCTTTTTTACAGCAGCACATGTTTTAAAATGCTGAACACCAGAATATTCAAACACTTCGCACTATTACCTTCCCAAAGTGCTTGCAGTCACTTTTTTTTTTTGTGCCTGACATGCATATTTTAAAAGAGATAAAAGAATCGTCTCCCCCCAAAACAAACCGTCTGACAGCTGACGGTGTGCTGAGGTACTCAGCGACCTTCAAGCGCTGATGTGTCAGCTGAGGGTTAAGATGTGCTGAACGCAGATGAGGAGGATCAGCAGACTCTTTCAGAGTTGCCTTTTTGGTTATTTTTTTATATAATTATTTGTCCTATATTAAACCAGGTTAGTCGGTTGAGAACAAATTCTCATTTACAATGACAACCTGGCCCAGAGGCAGCAAATACAGCAGTGGGAGTACATCCGACCGACATCATATAAACAACTGACAATCAAACATCAAGTTGTCATCAAGGGCGACTGTATGATGATGATGAACGTGATAAAGCACTGATTAGTCTCTACAGATTATTCTTTGTACAGATCTGGTAGAGTGCCGTATCAATGGGTAAATAAGGGCACAGATTGTGTTGTAAAGCACTTTGAGTATCTTGATAAGATAGAAACGTGCTGTATAAGTGCAGTCCACATGAAATGATAAAGGGCTAGGATAGGTTTCATGGTAAAAGTTTTGTATGAGGGTGAACAATCGAATTAAATCCTAAGATATTTGTAGCTGCTAGCAAACTGGATTTCGGAGCAATCTAAGGAGAGGATTTTCTGAGGGCAGATGGTTTGAAGGAGGTTTTTGTTGAAGATCATGCATTTTGTTTTCAGTTCAGAGTGTTTTTAAGATTAGAAAAAGTGTGCTCGATGTTATTGTGGTGTGGAGAGGGCAGTTAAGCAAACTGATGGTATACATAATAGTGTCATCGGCATACAGATGTGTATGAACAACATATACATATATATGTATACTGTCGGAAACCAACCTTCATTTTTGTTAATACAGGGTAATTAAAAGCAATACTGAATACAAAAATAAGAATGAGAATTTTAGCTTCAACTTTCTTTTGTTTACTGGTTCTGCTGATGGTTTTGTGCAGGTTCCCAGGCCTCTCCGCATGACAGGTTTTTGATCATGGCTGCAGAAATGGAAAACATTGGCTCACAAGAACTTGCACAGTTCTGGAAAGAAGTACCAAAAGCAAAGATTATGGAGCACCGGTACGTGTGAGTTCTCATTATGAACCATGTTAGTAAAATAATAATGGCTGCTGAAAAGGTTGACTTCAAGAAGTTTGATGCAAAATAACATTCTGTCTATTCTGGCTTCACTAAAGATGCATTTTAAATCCGTGTTTTAGTTATCATGTTTATAGTTTTGCGTAGACTTGATTTAAATTCCTTCTCTCCTGCATCATTATTTTTGACCCTCCTTAAATCTTGAACAGATGTTTTAAGCAACTCGTCTTATCTGAAAACTTGAAATATTAGGAATTTGAACCAGTTTGGTCATGACCTTTTGCTACACAGTTGTGTAACCTGCTGACTGAACATTTGATCACTGACTTGCGTCTTCACAGATTGCGTTGTCATACTCTGGATAGTGTTAAAGCTGCAGTGGACCCTCTCAAGGAGAGCCCAATGGAGACCTTCACCAGTGGCCAACAGGAGCTCAGCACTGCAGTAAGTTCAAGGAATATTAAAAGCAAACTTGAACATTTCTGCTACGACTCTAAAAAGTGTGATCATATCACTTAAAAGTGATCAAAAGGATTCAAGAAGAGTGGTGAAGTTTACAACAAAATATGCACAATTAGAGCCACAGTGTTTGTTCTTTTAACAACTCAAGGCTTCCTGCTTGACCTGCCTCTGAAAACCAGACCATCATTCAGACATGGTAGCCGAGTTATCAGTGCAAATCAGAAGGTTCTGTTGCAGCTCAGTCATTATCAGACTCTGTGAGGGAAATCTAAGAAAAAAGTCCTCATCTGTGAAACATTGTCAGATTACACTTACAGTAGTTAATTATTATTGTTGTTCCTGAGTAAGGAGGAGACTTGGAAATGGACCGTCCATTTTGGCATGTGTAAGTTAATTATTCACAGATAAATAGATGCTTACATATATACAGTAGTCCCTCACAACTTTGCAGTTTGTTTATCGCAGACTCGCTCTATCGCGGTTTTTCAAAATAAGATTGGACATGACACACAATTGGCTGATTGATGGATGAGTGGCACTATCAGCATGGAATTATTTTTTTTATATGTATAAATTATTTAAAATTATTTAGCACCTTGTGCACCTTTGTGCAGCCCATACTGCAGGATAACTGTGCAGAGTGAAGTGGGCGTGGCCAAGAACGCTTGCAGGTGGCAAAGAGCAGAGGAGGCAGGGAGCTGAAATCATGACATTCTGTGCTCTTTTAGAGAGTTAATAGTTTAGAAACATTGTTTAGAATATTGCAGGAGTTTGGGAAGGGTTTAAAAAACCTTTATCTACTCTCTCTCTATATATATATATATAATACAAATAAACTACTACTTACTACTTGTACTACTACTCCTATTTTGCGGTTTTTCACTTATTGCGGGTCTTCAGAGTACAGATCCCCCGCAATAAACGAGGGCCTACTGTATAGATGTATACACATATGTACATGTATACATTTGAACAAAAATATAAACACTTTTGTTTTTGCTCCCATTTTTCTTGAGCTGAACTCAAAGATCTAAGACTTCTTCAGCGAACACAAAAGACCTTTTTCTCAAATCCTGTTCTCAAATTTGTGTAAATCTGTGTTAGTGAGCGCTTCTCCTTTGTCGAGATAATCCGTCCACCTCACAGGTGTGGCATATCAATATGATATGACCACAATAAAAGGCCACTGTAAAAGTTTTTTCAAAAATAAGTCTCGGTTTTATCACGCAGTTTTGTAGGAGCATGCCATTGGCATGCTGACTGCAGGAATGTCCACCAGAGCCGTCTCCAAAGGCATTTCTGAGAAACTGGCAGTACATCCAACTGTCCTCACATCTACAGACCGTATAAACACACCAGCCTAGGACCTCCACATCCTGCATCTTCACTTCCAAGATCGTCTGAAACCAGCCACCTGAACAGCTGCTGCAACAGCCGGTTGGCATAACCACAGAATTTCAGCACAAAGTATCAGAAACGTCTCAGGGAAGCTCATCTGTATGCTCATCATCCTCATCGGGGTCTCCTCCTGTCTGCAGTTCTTCGTCGTAACCGACTTGATAAATTTATTGGTCTCAGGCCGAAATGAACCTAGCCTGCACTGACCTAAGAGTGGAAACACGGTGGTGGGAGTATGATCATATGGAACAGCGTGTGTGATTATAGAGTGAAAAGAGCATTTGTGATCATGGATGTACTTAAGAGCTGGGTGACTCCCAGACTTCAGAATTAACAACGTTATATGGAAGTATGAAAATAATTCAAAGCATAAAACCAAAATTAAACAAAAACTTGTGAACACAAAAAAAAACAACCGTTCGGCTACTTGTTAAAACTTTTTAAAAAACATTCCCACCTTCAGAGTACATTGACCAGTTTGCTCCTGTTTGGTGTCTCCTTTCAAGTCACTTTTATTTTCATCTGTTTGTAAAATGAGCACTGGAATTGAAATCTGGTGAAGCAAAACACTTTTTGAAGTTTTTGGAGTTTTCAGTTTGGTTTTGAGCCTCTGGCATCAGGGCTTTTTTTTTTTTTATTCAGAATTATTAGTATTTTTGCATCTTTTACTGGTGCTTTAATAAATAATGAGATTTTCGACAGACCTGGTTGTCCTCTGAAGAGAGGAACGTGACTCATTAAATCCATCACAAAGTTCTGCAGAAAAAGAAAAACTGAAAACTGTGACCTGAACTAGGCAGCGCACCTCTGATGGATTTTAAACAGAAACGCTGAGCAGAAAAGATGAGCTGATAGTTTCTGAAAGGAGCTGCGTTTTAAAGACATCTTTGCATCTGGAATCCTCTAAACAGAAACTTTAACTCCGTTCATTAAAAGTGCAGCGGCTTTTATTTTATTCAAACGATACGAATATTTTTTTTATCTTCAATTGGGGAAAAAGCAAAAAGCCATTTCCAGTTTGCGTTGTGATAAATCTGTCAGCGCCTGTCAGATGAACTAAATCGGTTTTTGTGTCTCCAGCTCATGCGATTGATGAACTGCAACTCCCGTCTGGAGCAGAAGGTGAACTCGTGTCTGTGGCTGCAGAAGGTTCTCACGGCGTTGGTGCTGGTCCTCGCAGTGCTCAACCTACTGTGCCTCTACGTGCTGGGTACGGCTCAGCGGCCATCCTGACCCGCCGCAGCGTCCTCCGCCTATGTCGGTCAGCCTCGGATGTGCCGGGGCTGCAGTTGACCTCCCAAAGGACTGTGATCCTGCGCTCCCCCCACCCACCATCCCTCCTCTCAGGCTGGTGTCTCGCAGAGGAGCTGACTTTAAGGACGTGAGCTGACGGGGAGTCCAAATCTGAAGAGAGCTTGTGCTTTTCTCTTCTCCGCCATTCCACAGTTAATCGAACAGACAGTTGTAGCAGTGATGCTCAGAGAATGTTAAATTAATTCAACAATGATTCATTTTAAAGTTGATGTATAATTTTTATATAATTATTCTACAAAAAAATGTATTTAAACAAAAAAATAAACGTCTTTTGTCAAATAATTTTCACTATTAATTGTTCTCATTCGCTCTTAAGAATATCTCTGTATCTTTATATCTGTTAAGATATATTAAAATTAGTTGCTTTATTATTTAAAAAAAATCACTCTTTATTAAACCCTCATTTGGCACAGAGGTTCATAATTAAAAACACAGCAGTGTATGACCTTACTAAACTTGTCCACGCTTAGACCTAGGAGCCACCAGAGATCTCTGTCTGCACTTTCTCATTTTGTTTTAATTACCCCAACACTAAACTAAACTAAAAATACCAAAGCAATTAGTGGCAAGTTGCAAGGACGGGCACAGCCCACTTGTATGTTGGCAGGGAGCACTGATATCTATAACAAGATCCAGCTCGGAGCAATCAGGACGCGAGACGCTGCACAAGGAATGAGCTTATTAGATGTTTGCACACAAGAGATGACTGGAATGAAGAACTGCGGTTTGTTTGCAGTGGGTGGAATGATTCATGCAATCACGAGTAAACTTATTCTACTTTGATTAGAAACATTCTTATCGTTTTGGGGGGAACGATGTGTTCATTCCTTGAAGTTTTCAGTTTGTTTTTGTCGTCCTGATCCGCTTATCTTGTACCTTTCTGGTAAAAGGACATCACAGATCATTTAGTGGGGTTTCATCGAAAAGATTATGAATAGTTAATATCTTAGCTGTTGCAGATAACACTTTGTAGCTTGAAAGAAAAACTGTTTAGATTTAACCCACAAGCTAATAGGTAGTCATGCTAGGACGAGACCAAAGTGGATTACAGTAGTCCCTCGTTTATCGCAGGGGATCCGTACCCTGAAAACCATACAGTAGGAATAGTAGTGCAAGTAGTACGTAGTAGTTTATTTTATTTATTCATACATTTATATAAAGGCATTTTAAACCCTTCCCACACTTGCAATATTCTAAACAATGTTTCTAAACTCTAAACGCTCTAAAGGAGCACAGAGTGTCATGATTTCAGCTCTCTGCCACCTCTGCTCTTTACCACATGCTAGCTGTCTTGGCCACGCCCACTTCTCCACTCTGCATAGAGAGCAGCTGCAGGAGGAAGCTTATCCTGCAGTATGGGCTGCACAAAGGTGCAGGAGGTGCTAAATAATTAAAAATAATTTATTTTAAATAAAAATTATATGCCGATCGTGCGGCTCATCCATCATTCAGCCAGTTGTAAATGAATAAGTGAGTCCCCGAGGTTCAATGGGACTAACCTGTATAAATAAAGGTTGAATGAATTGTGTGTCATGTCCAATCTTATTTTGAAAAAACATGATGGAGCGAGTCCTCAATAAATGAACCGCAAAGTAGCGAGGGACTACTGTACCACCTTCAAAACACCAAGCTAAAATTTCATAACACTTTTTATAAACTTATACTTTCACAAATGTTGCATTAAAAGTTTTTTTTTCTGACAGAAATACTAGAATATTACTGCTCAAAGTGCCCCAGGCTACATAGAACTAGCCGTTATGCCTTTATTTTCACTTGCAAATAACTAATGAACTCCATGTAAATAACTGTAAAGTGAAGCTGACAGTGTAAAAGTCTAAAAAAAATTATCAAACGAAACCTCATGGCATTTTTGAGAGGAAATGTTTTCGAATAGCAGAAATCCACTTTAGTCTTGACCCTAATCTGGTCAGAATAAATAATATAAATAGAATTAAAATAACATTTTTTTTTTTTTTCAATTTCAGGTTGTTGAAAGAGTACACTGGATTTAAACGTAGTCTGTGTATTAGTTAAACCTTCAAAAACACGTCCATTTTGTTCTATTTTAGTCCAAAAAACAGGAAGAAAACAAGATGGGGGTTAATGGAGTGCGTTCCTCTGGAGAGCAGCAGTAAAAGCTTTGGTATCACACGTATGAGAGTTGATTTTAAGTGCATCAGAGTGCCGTGCAGTACCTGGTTGTACCGAGAAAAGCATCAGGAGGCTCTACACAGCGCGCTGCCATCAAAATAAAACAACCACTGTGGTGCATGACGTGTTAAGTGGTCACATGACCACGCTTTCCTGATAGGCGCGTCTCACCGGTTTGTCTGGATCAGGCTAATTACTGGGCATGTGTTTCCCTGCAGATGCAGAAGTCAGATTGATTTTTACATTAACTATCGGTTAAATCGAAACCCTCCTCAGTGTGTGCCTGGCTCCAGGGCACTCCTGCAGGGCTCAAGGGGGACAATGATTTAGTTTGGTTAGCAAAATGAGACAGAGGGATCAATGGGAGCCTAATGAGGGCTGTGTTTAACAAGACGAGCTGCTTTTGTCCCAATGGAGAAGATCTCCACGGAAGAACCAGCAGCACTCGCCTTTTCATCATCCCTCGACATGACCTTTTGAAGTCGATGTTTCTAAAAGACAGAGACGGAAATCATTTACCATTTCCAGTAAAAGTCACTCTGTTCAGAGCCTGTTTTTTTTTTCAGCAATGGCATCTGCTTCACTGGCTTCCTTTTTTATTTACAGCTAGATCGAAACATGTTTTCTGCCTGCGCTCCCTCTGGCATCTGATGACAGGCCGGCTGATCAGAGGTCAGCAGGACCTTAAAATAGTTTTCAGACATGAGGAAGGATTGTTTGTTACTCAAGCTCGGAGGCAGCAAACATTACAGACAGCCGAAACTTTATAAGAACTTTATGGATACTGATAAAGGGAATCGAGGAGATTTTTTGAATCTGTGTTGAACATCATGTTCCTGCCTGAAGCTGTGGATGGACAATTAACAACCAGCTCACAGATTCTGGATCACGGAGAGAAGCGATGTGCAAAATAACGCATTTCATTTATGTTATTGACATTAGTTTGGGAGAAATAGTGCAATAAAGTGTATTTATCGTAATATTTCTAACTGTATTAGAGTAATTCAAAGTGTTATTTGACCTATTTTTCTGTACATGCCATCATTTCTTTGGTATTTTTTGTCTTATCGATATCTTGATTTCCCTATAGAGATTCTTTTTAAACCTATAGGCAGGAACAGGTGCCTCAAGTGGAGGAGTTTATTATCCGACGTCTAGTAGCAAGTGATGTACACTGTTAAACAAATCTGTAAAAATTACAGTTAAAAAAAAAGTCAAATTGCAACAGTAACAGACCGTGAAATCCAAAAAAGTATATCATCGTAGTAAATGCATTGAAATAGCGTAAAATAAGAAACAGAAATTTTACATTATTTAAACAATTATGATACAGTACGTGGAAAAAAAACAGAATTTTACCGTGAAAATTTTAAGAAATTGTAAAATTCTTGGAAAAATAGTGTAATGTCACAAGCAAGTAATTACCCTAAAATTAATGGTACTATTATGCCAGAATTACTGATTTTGCTGATGAATGATAAATGGACTGTACTTGTATAGCACCTTTCTATCTTATCAAGACACTCAAAGCACTTTACACTACAAAGTACAATGATTGTATAAATGTACGGTATAAAACCATTAACTATTCTGCAAAATCGTTTCTAAATTTCTACAGAGAATAACTGATTTAAAAAATGCATGTGCAACCCGGTATCACGTCAAAGCATGAAACATGCCCGCTCGGGTCAAAGTGTTGGGAAAAAGGGGTGCAAAAACATTATTTTAAAATAGATGAACGTCCTTAGGAAGGAGCGTGAAATTTGGCAAGATATTTACCGGGACACCCATGAAGAGCATAATAAAGTTTCAGCCTCCTGGGTGAAAGCATCAGGAAACAATAGGTGCATAGGTGTGTGTTTTTTTTAATAATGTAAACGCCCTGACCTTTGCCCTTAGCAAGTTTGCACAGAAATGTTGCTCAAAACAGCTGTCAGTGTGAGAAAGCGTAGTTTTGACGTTTCATCCTTCTAGGCCAAAGCATCTGGGAAATATGAAGCAAAAAATGTGATATTTTCAGGTGGTCCTGTGGCGTCACTGCACCCTCTGGAACAACCTTTGTCCTCAGGAAGATCACAGCAGGGTGAAACCAGGGATGCTGTTTGTGGACAAGGTCTAACTGTACATAATAAAAACTTCAGCCCCCCAGCTGAAAAAAAACAACATTTTTTTTTGTTGAAATCAAATAATTGATTTCAACAAAATACACACGTTTAAATAATACAATTTGATGTTGTTTTCTATAAGGCCCTAGTAAATATGTTTGACACTAAATGCAATAGTTGAATTGTCAAAAACTCACCAAATTGACTTTTTTATGATACTGATACTATTGTTACCACAATTACACAATAAAATTGGATAGAATAAAGGATACTTTTAAAGGAAAGATGTGCAAGGCTGACCAAACAAAATGGGCTTATCATATGTCTTTAAAATAATAAAAATATACACTGTTTAAACACAAACGATGAGTATGCAAATATATTTTATTTTATGCCTACCACACCTTAAGCCATTTGTTAGAAAGCCTACACTGTTTATGCTTAGTTTATAGCTTATAGCAGTATTATGCTTCAATGTTTGTTCTTATATCTATGAAATATCTTAGCGAACTCATCATAGTTTTATCAACGGTTCTTGAATGCAGCACAGGTGTGCAACGCAGAGTAGTACAAGCAGTTCTCTGCTTTTGTACTTTTCCTCGGTGCAGTAGTTGAGAGGGGATGTAGACCTGTAGTTCTTCCATTTATCATGGTGTGTAAATGCTAGAAACTTTTGGAGACGACTCCTTTTCTCCAGATGTGAATTTAAGCTCTGGTGCTTGTAATGTATTGCAGATTTGTGTTAGCCTTTGGGCTTCCGTAGCTACCCACCTGTGTCACTGTGTGCACGCACCAAGTAAAAAATAAGCTCTGTGCAATACTGGCGTTGGTATTGTGTCTATACAAGAGTGAGTATATTACATTATTTATTTTAAAGCTG